TCTATCTATCTATCTATCTATCTATCTATCTATCTATCTATCTATCTATCTATTTATCTATCTATCTATCTTGGAGGCTTTGGATATAGGAGCTTTGGCTTTTTTGTCTTCTTCTGGTTGTATGTTTTGATCTTCTTTGTCATCAAAGTAAGATTCTATGGTCTGACTCTTTTTGTTCTGCTTGCTCATGAGCTTAGCCAATTACTTGAGTTATAAACTATTTGTTAAGGTAGGGGTTCTGCTTCCAGTGTGGAGAATGTACTGTCCCAAGCTTTCGTGGTTTTGTGCAGCTGTTTTCAGAGATACTTCTAGGGACCTATAAATTTTCAGTTCTTCCAAGGTGCTATGATCAAGGGTAAGGTGTTTACTCTTTTCCTGGCCTGTGCTCTGGTCTCCAAGTGACCACAAGCACTCTTTTCTGTCTTGAAACTGTGAGGAGGATTTCCTCTCGCCTGCCACTACAAGCTTCTCCACGCCAGAGCTCCTCCTCACCCCAGGACCTCCACCCAGAACTGTGACCCAGATCCAAGCATAGGCAAAGCAAGAGAATCCTGCACCAGCAGAGAGACCCCTGAAATCCCCCTCTGATTAGCCACTTGATCCCCCTTAGTCTGTGGGCCAGAAGCTCTGGAGATAGCCGAGAGCTCGGGGAATGGGGCTGGAACCCCATTGTGCTTCTCTTTCAGCACCGCAGAAAGACTTTTCCCACTGACCTTCTAAGCTCTCTTCGTTCACAGGTTGAGAAGTCTGGAGACTGCCAAAGCTGCCTGCAATTCAATCCTCTGAGGCCTGCTCCAGGTTTGCTGTGGCCTGCATGCCCATGCCAAACTGTGCTCCTTCCCCACCCAGAGGGATATACCTTTCTCATCAACCATCCAGGCTCTTTGACTGGAAATTTGTTTCACTCTGTCTTTTTGTGGGTTTTGCTGCTTTAGAATTTGTTTAGAGCCATTTTTTAAATAGATATTTGGAGAAGTTTGGGGGACTGCTCAAGCAAGTCACTGCTTTTACTCTGCCGTCTTGGCTCCGCCCCCCCCCCCCCGAATTTCAATGCGGAGAAGACGCGTACTTTTTTTTTTCACTTTATTTTTCTTTTCATTTTGGTCTCTGTTTACTTTTACAACTTGACTAATATGGTAATGTTTTACATGATTACACATGTACAACTTATATCAAATTGCTTGCTTTCTCAATGAGTGGGGTGGGGAGGGAGGGAGAGAATTTGGAACTTAATTTTAAAAATGAATGTTGAAAATTCTTTTCACATTTAATTGGGAGAAAATAAAATATTAATTTTTAAAAGACTTTTATCTTTCCTCATATGCGTCTTCCTGTAGCAATAGTCACAGTATAGCACCCCTGTGTGCAGGACCTAAAATATTTTTACACCTTCTTGTAAATATTGTGGGAGAATGCATAAATTAATGATAGTTATAATAGATACCAGAATTTTTAATTGCTCTGTTTTGATGTACTTGATCTATTAGTTGCATTCATTCTGTCAAACTCAAAAAGGACTTTTCAACATTCCAATGTGAATATGCCCATCTTCTTTTTAGAATCATTCAATACTTTAGCATTATTTTTGCCACTCATTTTTATTAGGTAACATTTCTGGAGTTTGTGTTTTCAATGCCTTTGAGTTTTTCAGTTTCTCCCTCATCAGATTTAAATAACTTTTCAATATCCGTGCCTATTTTATCTAATCTGGGCTCACGAATGTAGTTCTTATGTGGCTCTGCCCTGATCTGCAGTACATTATTGTGTAGCTTAGAGCTGAGATTATCGATGGCAAAAACACTGTTAAGTCCTTGCTAATAAAGGATATGTGTTAACAATGTCATTAAATGAATGCATTTATTACGTGTCTCTGTTCCATCATGATGGACACATAATAAATGCATTCACATCTTTTATTCCATACACATTCATGGTTGGTATACTCTAGTGGTTAACCCCATTTACACCAAGGCAGTTGAGGTATGTATAGTTCTAATTTATTCTGATGTATCTTTCCTGCTTATGGTGCCAGCACATGAAAGTGATATTCATTCTACTACGTTTCATGTCAAGCTGGCCATCACAATGATTCTGAGAAGGGTTAGACTACAACACTACACTGCTCTGCCTATTTCTTTACATTTATAGAAACAATTTCCTCATATTAACCAGGGTGCTGATCCAATTAGTGGTATAGTTAGATTCTATTATCCAACATATCAAGGTTCGATCAAGGCCTTCACAGTTGCTCTAGTCGCTGCCAAGAACAGAGAGAACCTGCTATACATCACTGGCTGACTTTCTTTAATTTTTGCATTGATCTTCCCTTTTCAATCCCACCTCCCATGACATGGGTAATAAATTGGAATTGCTGGGTTCTGATTAGAAATAGCAGTAGTAGTGATGGTTAGGTGATTATAATAGCAGTGAGGAAATTGAGGATCAGAGAGGTTAAAAGATTTCCTGAAGTTACAAAGGAAATTAGTGACAGAGCCAAGATTGAAGTCAGTTTGTAGCCTTGCAGTCTAAGTCTAAACTACCTTGCACAAAAGCAAAGAGACATAAAAATAGCTGAGAGTAAAGCCACCTTCAGGAGCAAGTCCAACAACAGACTACAAAAACAAAGTATATAGGAATATTCATTCAGCTAAATCTTTGTGTGCATGTGCTTTTTATGTGCAATGAGATGAAGTGGCTTGGTAAACTGAAAAAAGTTAAGCTGGGTTGATAGCCAAGTTGCTCTAATCTCCTATCAGCTCTCAAGAAACATCACCCACATGTTTCTCTACCTGCCATGGGCCCAGCCAGACATTCGCAGTGTGTAGGATTTGGGCTATTTTTTTTCAGGAAGTGCTCAGGTCACAACCTGCCTGGGACCCCTCACCTCTAATCAGCTGATAAAGAAAACAAAAAATCTGGGTACCCCTAGAGAATTAGCCTTTCCTATGCTGCCTCAGTGATTCATCCCACTTGCGAAATAGCTTTGTCGACATGGCTGAGAGCCAGTTTAGGTGGTTCATTTTTTTCCCCTTGTTTTTGGCTCTGCCAAACAGCTGAGCAATGATGATAATTAATGTCAAGACTTTCTGCATCTCTGAGGCAAGGAGGCAACACTTCAGAGAATGATTCCCTGCCAGAATGCAAAGAAACTCAATGAGGTGAACCAAGATTTATGTGTTTGTTACCACCATCTGTGAACAGAATCATTGAAGACAACAAAGGTTGGTGCATCTTCAATCCTTTTTACAATGAAGAAAGGTTGTTCCTGGAAAGGGTAGATGACAAAATTCTTGCCAGTACATCTGTGATGACCACAGGCTAGAGCAAAGGGATTGAAGTCCATGAACTGTCTATGCAATGTTTTCATTTTCCCTGAAAAGAGCCATTTATAAGTGACATTAGCATTTAAGGTAATTATGCCTTATACATCAATATTTCAGGTTCTGTGTTTTCATTTTTGTAGGTTTGGGTGAGTGGTATCAATTTCACCACCCATTATTACAAAGCCTTAGGATCATAAAATCCTAAAATCATGGCCTTAGGGCCAGAAGGAACCTTAGAGGTCAACAAGTCCTGTATATTCCCTTTACAGATAAAGAAATTGAGGCCCAGATTGATTAAGTGTCTTGCCAATTGTCACACAGTGAATGGGAGCCAGCATTAGAACTCAGGGCCAAATTCTAAATTGTCACAACTAAAAATTTCTTCACCATGTGATCAGTCTCATGATGAGAATCTTTAAATTTAGCCGAGTTGGTCATTGAATGACAGACATACAAGAGTCCTTCTTTGAATAATTTCCTGCTTGACAGACTTGACAGAACTCCTGCTTCTCTGGTCTTTGAAGGCCAATCAATGGTCTACCACCACATCATAATAAGATATCAGCAAAATTCTTTTGTGGAGGATAAACAAGGAAAATCAGGAAAAATAAAATAAAGCTACACAAATAAATGAGAACACTGTAACTTCTCTATTTCCTAACAATATCACCCAATTTCCTAATCTCTCTGAGCTTCAGTTTCTTTTTCTGTACTACTCACTTCACACTAGTATAAAGACAGTGGTTGACTTTTCTCCTTAAAGTTCTATATCAAGGTGAATTTTGGGTATCATCATCATCAATATCATTATTAAATTATTAATTTAGTATATTGTGAGAAAATACCAATAACTTTAATACTTAAGTGATTTAAATGCACCAAAAGATGATGTTCTTATGTTTTTATGTAAAACCTTTTATATATGTTTTTATGATGTTCTTATGTTCTTATGTAAAACCTTATGTTTTACAAGATAATAGAGTTAGGAAAGCATCTGTTTAAAAAAATCTGCAAAATATTTTAAAACCATACCTTTAATTAAAATACATATAAAAGAACTTTTAGATAAAAAAATCAATAAAAGGCAACTGGATATTTTTTAAAAGGAATTCACCAAGAAATTTATAATAATGAATTTTTTTAAAAAAATGAGTTTTATGATATCTAGGAATGACGGAAGAAAGTGTTAGAGGGAAAAAAGAGAGGTTTTTAGATAGATGGTCTTTGTTTCCATTTGGATGAGTGATAATTTTGAGCATTAAATATATATGGTTGTGGGACTTATTTTTCAGTTTTACTACTCCATTAGCTTTTTAATCCATGATGGAGCTTTAAGTACTAAAACAATTTTATCATTTTGAAATGTACGTAATATACACTATCTGTTCATTTTCCCTTATATGCTGAATAAGGTGATGGGTTAAATTTGAAATCATAACCTCCCAGGAGGAGCTCTATACTTTTAGCATTGGGGACTTTCTTTGACATTTAGTTCTTTGATTCCAAAAAGACATTTCAATGGAATGGAGTGCATAGGACACAATAATAATGTATCATACTTAAATGAATGAAGTTTCTTTTTTTCCCCCAGTATCATATTTTAGTCAAGACAAAAGGAAAATAAAACTGTAGTTTCTCCATTTCATCATCCCATAATTGTTTGAGAAAATTATGACTAGTTACCTTATTTTATAAATACTATATGTATGTATTATAGATGTATGCTCCAGTAAGCAATAACAAAGTTCAGATGAAAAAGAAATTATTATTTGCTATTATGAATTTTCTAGGCTATTTTTCTGTCCTTTCTAACTTTGGAATTTTTTTACTAAAAATATTTCAAAAGACAAATGGAGAATTTGCTAATATAGTGTCAGCTTTTGTATCCTCAGAAATAAGGAAGGCCTATTCAGAATCATTGTTTTAGTACTCTGATAACATCCCCATTCTCCCACCCCCAGATAACTCCCTTATTTTCATTATTGCCACTCGCCATTGCCTTCTCCTTGTTTTGACAGGGTTGAGGTCATCAGAGGCTTAGAAGAAGTAGAAGCTGACATCTACATCAGGAGACATGAACCATCCAGTTGAACGTGCCAGATACATGTCTCAACTTTCCATTTCTTACAAAGGTCTGTCAGTGTAAATGGGAAAGTCACATCATACAAAAGCATTGGTTATATCAGAGGTCTAATTGGGTCTTTTCAATCACAGTAACCTGATTCCTAATTTTAATGTATTGAATCAAACATGAGGTCCCTAAGTGACTAAGTGTCCATACCCTTTAAAATAAAGATTCTACTTTTAGTCATAGATTCTAATGAATTCAAAGACAGAAGAAAAAATCATATGTATATCAAAATATTCATAACAGCAACTTTGTGGTAGCAAAGAACCAAAAACAAAGTGGTGGTCCATCTGTTGAGAAACAGTTGAGAAAAAAAAAAAAACAACTATGGTATGTGAATATGGTATAATATCTTATGGTTAAGAAATGATGACTGTAGAACTCAGATTAATGTGATACAATATACTTGAAATGATGCAGAGTTAATTAAGCAGAACCAGAGAAGCAATATACACAAGGACTTCAACAGAATAAATGAAATGATCACTATAAAGGAGTAGAACCCTGAGTTACTAAAACTCCAGTTAAGGTCCCCATGAAAAAATTATGAAAGAGACCCTCCATCATGACAGAGAGGTGGAGGATTATTAGGGATAAAATATTGCATACACTGTCAAATGTACCCTTTGTCTGATATTTTGCTTAATGATTTTTCCTTATAACAAATGAGGACTTAATGTTGGGAATGTGGTAAGAAATGACTGGGATATAAAGACTAAAACATCAATAAAATGTATTTTTTTGGGGGGGAAGCTCTTCCAGTGTTGGCCCCCTGTAGTTCTATATGGGTCACTTAACCTTGGGTTCCTCTTTATTCTTCAAAATAGTTTGGCTGTACTTTGAGATAGTAGCTGAGAACTCTACCAGGTAGTATAATTATATTAGTCTCCCAATGAAAAATAAAACAAATTTAATAGCTTCCCACATATTGAGAACACAGTTCACAGAAATTTACCTACTGCTTCTTCATACAAGATAAGATATCTTAGTGCAGTGTATGTGTTGAACACCAATTAAAACATTACACACCTAAGGGCATTAATATGGAGTGTCCAGCAAAAAAGTCAAAATAACCTTATTAAGGAAAAAGCCATACCTACTATAGAACAACCTCATAAAATGTTTACTTATTACCTAGCTTAAAAAAAAAATACACCATAGAATGCAGGCAGAACAAGGAAATAATTTGACTACTTTTCTCAATCTGATTTTTTTTTTATTAAGTCAACTCCTGGGTATGAACAAGACTTAATTGGTGAATTGCTGATATTGGGACATTATTTCTGGGTGGCCTGTTTCTAAACGTATCCTGGAAACTAAGGACCTCTGAGAATGGAAAACTGTAGAAAAGAAAGGACATGATCCTCAACTGGAGAAGTCATTTAAATGTAAGCTAAGAGCTTTTGATAACTTCCAAACAAATGCATATTCTTAAAAACAAATTATCTGTATCTATACTTGGACTTTCCCTGTCCTAAAAGATATTACATGCGACTTCCCAGCAGTATTTTTATTAATTTATTTATTTATGATTGATTCTCTTATTTATTTGTATTGAATCCTCCACCTGGACACCCTAGTGGCTGGGGAAGGGCTAGACACTACTTACTGCTTAAGCAATCAGTTCTTTGTTAGTGTAACTAAGAACAGTGGGTGGGCCATTTTTTCAGGTGAGAAAAAGCAAGCTGTGAAGTGAACACCTTGGATTGCTTCTGTTTGTTTGAGGCCCTTATCCTCAGGGCTGTGTTCTTTTGGCTGAGCTTACCTGTTGATCACACTGCTTAACTGTAATTATTCCAGACAGCTTTTTGGCTCCCCGTGCCGCTTCATAGGCTTCATAAATCATACAAATTATTACCGCAATAGAAAACTATAATTACCCACAAACCCTGACATGCCAAAAGGTGTATTAATTAGATAAGGTAATAAATACTTTACCGCACATAGCCATAATTATTACTTCTAAAGTGACACATATGCATATACCATCTTGATATTCACCAGCAAATGATTCACTGTAATGCTCAGTTCATAATAAAATTGTTATCTAATTTGATTAATTTGTTAATGCTTTGCATGGCTCTTCAAATATAAGGAATGCCTCAGAAGTGTTATGTCGGAAAGTTATTGTTATTTCCAAAGGGACAAACCATCTGATTAATTTGCAAACTGTGAATTGTAAGAGGAAAGACTGTCTCATAGGGCTAGGTTGGGAAAGTTTGGATTGCTGGTCTCTTACAAGGTATCTTGAAAAGAAACACAATGTTTAGATGAGGAATATCTGACAAGGGTAGCAGAGTACAAAAATGTTATTTGTTCCCAGGCTATGAAAACATGAAATACTCAATTTATTCTTTGTGAAAATGAGGAAAACACTTCAGAAGTTCATAGAAGAGAAACCTAATACTAGGTTAGATCTAGCTACAAGAATAGATGTAGGTTAGAATTTTCATGTGTAAAGAAGTGCCAGCAGGATAATTTTTAAAAAGCAGAGGATATTATTAGATTTGCTGATGGAAGGATCCTTTTAGGCCATCTAGTTCAACTCCCTCATTTTACAAATGAGAAAATTGACGTACATAGAAGAGAAATGAGTTATTTAAGGTAACATGATACTGCCTCCCTTTTTTAATGTATATGAAAAAACAGAGTTCATATTGTCCATAATGCAACATTTCCACTTTACAAAAATTGTTATTATTTCAATATCTCTTATTGTATTTTAAAATATAGAAAATGGATGAATTGCTTTGGGATTAATATTCCAGGATGACAATTCAAGAACAATATACTTTGGGGAACAACAGCTGACAACAATAATAACCAATTAACTAACATTGTCTTAATACTGGACTGAGTCTATGAAACAGCTAGGATCCAAGAAGGAAGCCAAAAGGCCTTTGATGAGCAATATCTACAGGAACCCAACCAACAATACGTAGACAAAGATGCTTCAAACAATTGGCAGGTTTACTTATAGAAATGGAGGCATTTATGGTAGCAATACAGAACCAGGTCATGGCTATCAGAAATCACCAGAAGGTTGTCCTTAAGAATCCCGGACTTCACATTTTGTAAGACACTGTTCGACATACCACTTCAGGTTGAAAAAAATGTAATATTTCCTTAAATATCTAGAAATCCACAATCAACTGACTAAAATTATACATCAAAAGATCACTATCCTTCATAAACAGATGACAATTTACAGAGCTACAAATACAAACCCCAAAATATCTTGAAAGAATTCAGCAGATACACTTTACTTGCACTGTAGCTTCATCACAGACAAAGCTACCAACCATAATGACCTACATAAAACACAGACTCATAAAAGAACAATGTTTTTAAAGGATGTCACCGTACCAAATCCCCAAACTATGTAAAAATTTTAAAAAGCTCTTAGAATATAAAGACCTAATTGAAGAAATCAAAACCACATGGGAATAGGAAAAAGTACATGCCATCCCTATTCTCTTATCTCCATCTGGGATTGTCCAAAAAATACTTCTTGTAAACCTGCAGAGGTTGAGCTTATTTTCCAATCATTTTATTATTTGCAACAGAGAAACATAAAAGAATAATAGCAAGGTAGTGAAGTCTTCCGGGATAATTTCTAGTTGAACGCCATTGAATATATAAAATGAGGAGAACAAAGACCAAATAATAACATTAGCTGGCATAGTGGTTGTTGTTCTCATTACGAGTGGCAGCATGGAGAAGCAGACAGAGAAAACACCTTGGAATCTGGAAGTTGAATCAGGTTTAACTTGTCGTTGACACATACCGGTTATCATTGACACATACTGGTCATGTGATATTGGGCAAGTCATTCAATCTTTCAATGTCCAAGACAATTCTTTGAAACTACAAGTTGCAACAGTTGCCATTCTGCATTGGTAAAATGACTTCCTTACTAGGAGTTCCCTATACCAATAAAGTAACAGGCTTGTCAAAAATAATAATAATGATAACGATAAGCATTTTATGACATGTTAGACTACACTGTGAAACAAGTAACACAAGTGAAAACAAAGGAAGCAAACATTCACTAAGCACCTACTATGTACTGGGCATTGTGCTAAGCATTTTCTAAATCCCTCATTTGATCTTCACAAAAGCTCTGCAAGTTAATAACTAATAATAACCAACATTTGTATAGCCTTTACTTTACACCAGGCACTATAGTAAATGCTTTACATTTGTTATCTGATTTGATCCTCACAATCCAACCAGGAGTGTGTTTAGAAAACCTATATTGAATATCTCCCTCCCTCCCAACCACTTTCCAAGCAGGTCCCTAGAGTAATTTTGGTAGTTTTTCCTTTCTGCATTAGTAAAGCCTTTGAATTCTTTACAAACCCCTAAAACCAGAATGTTCTAATTGCATGCTAATCAGATGTAGCAATATCACAAGATAGAGTAATTCAGCCACCTTTAGAAAAGCAGAAATGGTTGAGCAGGTGTGTTGTTGCCCAGCCAAGGGTGGAGTAGAGGGTAAGGGTGAGGGTGAGAGTGAAATCAAGAGTGGGTGGGGCTCATCTTAATCCTCTCAGAGGGTGTTCAGCAATGGATTCTACTGGATTTCTTTTTCATGTGGCACTCCCAAATGAATTTCTCAATAATGGCAAAAAATGAGAACAGCTGAGTCAATTCTCATTAGATTTTTAAATGGTTCACACAGTCTAAATTCTCAACAGGAAATCATGGGACTGCTTAGGTAATCACATGCTAGATCTGTTTTTGAATGGTGGAAAGAACTGTACCTAATGAAAACCATCCATGCTTACACTTCTGGGAATAGCTTTGATTCACCCCAACTACAATGCCTCCCTGAAAAACAATAACATTTTAATAAATAGATCACAAGTGAATGTAAGCTGACACCTGAAGTATGTTGGTCTTGGTTTCAGGAGGCTTGTGGGTCAGAAGAAATGGTAGTTTTAATATATTGGGAAAAAGAAATGTGGTGTGCTTGGCAGAAGACTGGACCTGAGGTTGGAAGGCTTGGATTCGAATCCAGTTTCTTCTTCTTCTTGTTACTCTTTTGACCATGGCCAAATGAAGAAGCCTTTCTGTCCTCAGCCACCTCTTCCATAAAAAGAAGGACTTAGACTAGACGATCTGAGTTTAAATCTCACCTTAGACACTTCCTAGCTGTGTGATTCTGGTTAAGTCACTTAACCTCAGTTTGTTTCAGTTTCTTCATCTGTAAAATTAGAATAATAATGGCACCTACTTTCCAGGGCTATTGCAAGGATAAATTGAGATATTTGTAAAGAACTTTGCAATCCTTAAAGTGCTATATAAGTGTGATTCTTTGATCAGGATCATCATCATCAGTCTAAATCTTAGGATCATCTTAGAATATAAAACATATGTGGAACTTCCAAAGGAGCCATTTATATAGCCTGTAACCTGCTATTGTCCCTACCATAGTTCCTCCTTTTAGAAGTCATAGTAGGCCTGTCAGAGAGGCATTATGATATGAGAGTCATAGTGATGCATTGGAAAGATTGTTGATACTAGCATCAGAGAACCTGGGTTCAAACTCTGACATTGGATGAGCCAACTTTATTCTTGGGGACTCAGCTTCCTCATCTATCAAATGAGGGGGTTGGGTTAGATGATCTTTATGGTACCTTCCACTTCTAAATCTGTAATTCCCCTTTAAAAGGAGCCAGAATTTTGTTTAGATACAAACACTCTGTTCTTTTGCATTTGTATGGCAGATATGTACAAATGAAGCATTATAAAAAAAAAGGGAGACTGATGGGAGCTGGGCTGATATTGACAAGATTAGAGTAGTGCTGCTTATTTTCCCAGGAATGAGTTCAGGACGAGGGGAGGGGTAGTGTCTAGCTTCTCCAAAATTTTATTTTCTCACCTGATATGTTGGGGTGCTTAAGAAGTTCTCCCATTCACTTTTTCATGCCAAAAGAGAACCTAGTATGCTGCAATGCATTAAATCTGAGTCCAGAGGCTTGAAAAATTGGACTGCACTCCCAAAGCAATTTCCTCTCTGGAAAGATGAATCAGTTGTATGAGATGGCAACATCTATGATCAAGTGACGTGGAGTCAAAGAACTTAGATTCAAATCATCATCATTGTCATCATGGCATTTATATAATGTTTTACAAAGTGCTTTATCAATATTATCTCATTTTATCCTCAAAACAGTTATTGGTGGGGGCAGCTAGGTGGCGCAGTGGATAGAGCACCGACCCGGAAGTCAGGAGGACCTGGGTTCAAATCCAGCCTCAGACCAAACACTTGACACTTACTGGCTGTGTGATCCTGGGCAAGTCACTTAACCTCAATTGCCTTAAAAAAAAAAAAAAACAACACCTTATTGGTGGTAGGTGCTATTACTATCCCCATTTTGCAATTGAGGAAACAAAGGCAGACAGAGGTCAAGTGACTAGCCCAGGGTCACACAGCTATTGTATGTAGTGTATAGGGCTGAACTCAGGACTTTCCAACTCTAACTTCAGTACTCTATCCAATGTGACAGGTAACTAACTCTAACTTCAGGCAAGTAACAGCTCCCCTACGCCTCAGTCTCCTCCTCTGCAAAATGAGAAGACTGGACTAAATGGTCTTTGACCTTCCTTCCAGTTCTAATTCTATGTGATGAGATGTGACTCAGTGCTAGACTCTTTGGTCTTCTTGATCCCAAAATTCAATTAGTTAAAACCATTAATACTTAAGGAGGTTGTGGAATTGAGTATTTATTTCCAAACAAATTAACTCAAGCCCAAAGAAGCTTACTTAATAGATATTTGTGTGGTTGTTTATCTCCCAGTTAGGGCCTAATAGTGAAACAGAGCTTATGATAACAGTTATCTGGGAGCCTTATTTTCTTCATATAAATCAAACAAAAGAACATTGGGATTACTTAAAGTCTCATTTTGATGACTGATGATGTTAATGCGATTCATTATGCTCTTAGAATGTTAATTGCCCATGATTATCTATTTCATAATATGATAACTGGTGGTGGCTGAAATGATTCATAATGCATGATGGTTAAATATATCTGAAAATGATTTTTTTTTTTTAGCTTTGTTGTTGTGGTGTTTTTTTTTTTTAAAGGAGGAACAGTAAGAGATCATGAAAATGGCAAAAAGAAAAAAAAGAAACCTAAGCTGTCATTCAGTTTTATGTGAATTGAAAGGTTTATAGTGTGGAGCTGTTGGATGCAATTTCAATGAGCAAGGATTTGGTGGAGAGATTAGATCAGTTACAAATTGCTAAATCTGATGGCTTAGATAAAAATTTAACCAGAGGCTTTAGAAGAGGTGGAACATATTTTTTTTTTTTTGGAGAAGCAATTGCCTCTGTAGAGTGTACACAGTATGCATTTTTCAAAGCAAACTAAATTTGGAGTGATTGTGTAATCGGATCCCCAATTAGAATGTAACTCTTCTATTTCCAGCCAACAGGAGGAAATGGTATTTATTATAGAGCATGCTTCCCCCCCATTATTATATTGATATTTGCTTCACAGTTCAGGCTCTGAAATATTAGCAAAAGTTAAAAGGACATTTGTTTTTAATGCTGATTGTAAGAAAGCAGGTTGTTTTGTTTTGTTTTTTAACCCGCATAGGAAAATTTGCAATGAGTATTTCTTGAATGGTACAGACATATTCCATATTCTTTCTTCCCCCTCCCTGAATCCACACACTATTATTATTATTATTCCTAGTATTAGCAAGAGCATTAGCACTAAAATGCCATTCTGAATCCTCAATATTTATAAAATCTACTACGGTTTCATTATGTCCTTATTTTGTTTTTCTTTAACTCTCTGCCCTAGTCTTGGGAATGATCTTTCAGTAATCTCTTGTGCCACCCAACATCACCAGGTGAAATTAACTAACATTAATTTTCTCAGGCCCTGCTAACCACCTCCAGCTATTCAGGAAGGACCCACACGCACACCAGAATATTCCCCTGGGACTCTAGGAGTGGTCATTTCTCTCTGGATTTTCGTTGTCTCTCCTGTACCTCCTGACCAACAGGAGCTGAAGGCAGAAGGGTGAAATCACACTGAAGAGGAATAGAAAGTATTCCCTGGGGTTGAATGACCAGCATTGCATATCCACTTTCTTTAATTTCATCCAGATTGGCCAAATTGTCAGTAACTTTAAGGGGTGACTTTCATCTTCCTGAAATTGTGCAAAACTTGATGCCATGTTCTTGAGCTTCTGTGTTGGTGGTCATAATGTATTCACTGGCATGAACAAAAGCCATTAACCTTTGCTAGTGGAAAGCATTTACGAAAGTACATTGGCCATAAGGGATGCTTTGAAACTTGCCATTTGAATAGTTGAAGGGTCAAATGTGCCTGCCTTTTATTAAAATGGACTAATTGGAGAGGGTCAGAAAACTTCAAGAGGGTTTGAAATTGGAACAAATAACTTGAAATATTTCCCTAAGGATATTCTCATCTTCTTCCTATGTTCATTTTTTTTCCTGACCATTTTTCTTAGGCTAGTAATTGCCTAGAATGAGCCTGTTTCTAACTTTATGACATATACACTTGTACATTACCTAACTCATACCTGGCATTTTATAATATATTTCTAAATATGTCTAGTTGAATCCAGAATGTCTAAGTGATAACTAAGTGATCTGTTCTTTTGTATGTGCCATAATCCATACATGCACATTTATGAGTACTAAAGACACAGTAATACCATTCTCAAGATTTTGTTTTGTTTTTCTTAAACAGGGTCCTCAATTAAACTGAATCACAAGAAGTTGGGTCAATTCATTCTTTCAGGTAGGATCAACCCTATCCTTTACAGCTTGACTATTGTAATACTTAGTGTTTCAGAATGTTGTAATAGGAAGTGGGGGAAAAGACACATAGGTCTTGGAATTAGAAGACTTAGGTTTGAGGCCTAACTCTGACATTAACTAACCCTCTCTGAGTCTCATAGAACTGATCCGTAAAATAGATAATAATACTCACGCCTTGTCCATTTTTTAGAATTGTAAGTGAAACAATTAAACCACTATATAGGTCATAGGAGCTAGAGCCAGGGGAACTTTAAAAGCCATTTAGTCTAACCCCTACATATATTTTTCTTTCAGAGGGGATTTTTGTTTTTATCTCAGAATGAGTTACTCAAGTTTGAAGTGGCCCCCTTTCTGCCAGTTCTAATACGAAAGAATTTATATATCAAAGGATGGCTTCAGTCTCCTTCCAGGAAGGACTTCCTACTCACAGCATGTCCCCCAGTTTGTGAGTGTGATTCTGAGAAGATAATGCAAATAGGCAAGGCCCAATCCTGACTGACCCTCCAAGGGTTAACCCCCTTATTTTAATGATAATGAAGCTGGGACCCAGAGATGTTCAGTGACTTGCCAAAGGTTCCAGAGAATCAGAACCAAGATCTATGACCCAGAGGGCATAAGATAGGATCATCATGACTTTATAGCTAGAATGGACACTAGAGGCCACTTGATCAACTTCCTCATTTTACAGATGAGAAACTGAGGCTAAAAGAGATTTGGGACTCGCTCAAAGTAACAAAGCTGGTAGAGCTGAGATTTAAACCATGGTCCTTAGCCTGCAAAGCAATGCTCTTTCCTCTCAATATTCATTCCACTGCTGACAGCATAGAGGAAAGTAGTTTTGAATCTCAAGCCCATTTTTTTCAAACTCCCCCCCCCTTTTTGTTAATCATTTATGAGCAATCAGTTCCTATTTTACAGATGAGGAAACAGTGGCCAGGAGAGATCATTTGAGTTGCCTACCTTCATACCTATAATAACTGTCTAAATGCCTGAGGCAAAATTTAAACTCACATCATCTTTTTGTACTTCCATGCTGTTCACTACACTATCTGGCAAATAATGGGGTGATATTTGTATTGTTCTTCAAGTTTTGCATTTTATCTCATTTTATCCTCACAGCCACCCTGTGAAACGCCCATCCCTCTCTCTCTCTGCTCAGAATTAGCGGGAATGAAGTAGTGCATGGGACCTAAAATGAGTTGATTAGTCTGGGGTGGGGAACCTGCAGCGTTGAGGCCACATGTGGCCCTCTAGGTCCTCAAGTGCTGCCATTTGACTGAATCCAAACTTCACAGAACAAATCCCTTTAATAAAAGGGATTTGTTCTGTAAAACTTGGACTCAGTCAAAAGGCTGCACCCAAGGATCTAGAAGGTCACACATGGCCTTGAGGCCACAGGTTTCCTCCCCCTGGCTCTAAACTGTCATATCCTCAAGTCCCTATGTTTCTTTTTACCATATATTGTGTAGAGGTTTTTTTTCTAGTATATAATGCTGTGAGATGAATGACCATATCTTATCTGAACTTTGTATCTTCTCTAAGCCTAGCCCAATGCTCTACATATTTAATAAATATTTATTGAGGGACAGCTAGGTGGTGCAGTGGATAGCCCTGGAATCAGGAAGACCTTAGTTCAAATCTGGCCTCAGACACATAACACTCACTAGCTGTGTGACCCTGGGCAAGTCACTTACCCCGATTGCCTCTCCACAAATAAATGAATGAATGAATAAATAAACAAATAAATATTGAATGGATGAATGAATACAGCATTAAATAGAAGAAAAGAACTGATTGCTAATTGAGAGCTGGAAGGGGCCTCAGAAGCCCCATAGTCTAATGCTCAATGCTCAATCATTTCAGTCGTATCCAACTCTTCATGATCCCATTTGAGGTTTTCTTGTCAATGAAAAATCTTTGACAATAGTGGCTTACCATTTCCTTCTCTAGTTCATTTTACAGATGAGACAACTAAGGCAAACAGCAGGGTTAAATGACTTGCCCAGAGTCACGAAGCTAGTAATCGTCTGAGGCCAGCTTTGAACTCAGGTCTTTCTGACTCCAGGTATATTGTTCAAAAACATTCTAAAATACGGATGGCAGGTGATGTGGGAAAAATGTCGGACTCAAGAGTCAAAGGTTCTTATTTCAGGACTTAGCCCTGACAAATCACTCGAATGCTTAATCTTTTTGGTTTCAGTTTCCTCACCTCTAAAATAATGGGATTGGACAACAGGACCCCTGAAGTCCCTTCCCATTCTCAACCTAAAATACAAATTTTAACTTCTCACAGAGAAACTAGAACCTTCCGGAAGACCCTAGGAAACCCTATTATATTGGTTACATTATCACCCTATTACATTTACAGGTATTACCCTATTAGTTACATTATTAAAACCCTATTACATTAGTACATTAGTTTGGCAGACATGCCACTCCAATGTGCACTAGGCTTCAGATATATTGTCCTGCTCCACACTCTGGAATCTAATTATCCAAATCCATAACTTTTGAAGCTGTTTTCAGCCTCTTTCATAATACAGTGTGGCCCATTCAAAGACAAAAACTTGACATGTTTAAAGGAATATACATTATCTTTACCCAAATCTAACCCTCTTCTGACCTTCTCTATTACTATAGGAAGGAAAACAAAAAACCAAGTATTTATTAAACATCTACTATGTGCCAGGCATTGTGCTTAAATATTTTATAAATATTGTATCATTTGATGCTTACTATGACCATGACAGGTAAGAACTATTATCATCCCCACTTTTTTGTTGTTGTTCAGTCATTTCAGTCATGTCTGACTCTTCATGACTCCATTTGAAGTTTTCTTGGCAAAGATACTGGTGTGGTTTGCCATTTTCTTCTCCAGCTCACTTGACAGATGAGGAAACTGAGGCAAACAAAGTTAAATGACTTGCCAAGGTCACACAGCTAGTGTCTGAGGCCAGATTTGAACTTATGAAGATCAGTCTTCTTGACTGTAGGCTTCGTACTTGATCCACTGTGCCACCTACTTGCCATATCTCCACTTTACAATTCAGAAAACTGAAGCAGAAGTTAATTGGCTTGCCCAAGATCATAAGACCAGTAATACTCTGAGGCTAGATTTGAACTTAGGAAGGTCTTCCTTACTCAAGACCCTATCTTTTTCATCACCTACAGAAGGCACCACTATCCTCCCGGACATTCAGGTTTGTAACTAATTCTCACTAATACCATATATCCTTCAGTTGTATAATCTTCTTGTTTATCTCATATATAGTCCTATTTCTATTCACAAGCCACTATGCTAATTCAGGTCCTCATCATCTTATATCTGGATTATCATAATAACCTTCTAATTGATTTCTTGATCTATTAATTATTTTCCTGGATTCAAGTCTCCTCCACATAACTGTCAAAATGATTTTCCAAATGTGTAGGTCTCACCAGGCAAGCTCTTACTCAAAAAACTCCAGTGGCTCCCTATTACCTCCAAGATCAAATATAAGTCCTTTCTTTGGCATTTAAATCTCTTCACATTATGGCTTTTTTTTTAATTGTTCTGAGCTTCTTACTTTTCATTCCCTTTCATATTCTATAATCTGGCCACATTGTCCTATTTACTGTTCTTTGCACATGACACTCCAATTCTATCATAACTACCCCATCCTAATTATTCTGAACCTCTTTGTGACCATTGTTCAAATACCATTCCCCATATCACTGGCCAATCCCATATTCTCATGCCCCTTGGCCCAACCCATCCACCCCCAATACCCAACTCTAAAGTTACCTAACTTTTCTAGTTCTCTCAGAAATGCTTGCCCCATGAATAAGAAGCTAGCTTTGATCATTTATTTCTTTCTTGCTTTCTCCATCTTCTCGCATTCACAAAGACTTGGCTCCCTCCTGATGACATAACTTTTCTGGCTGCCCTTTCCAGCACTGATTGCACTTTTATTCATTCCCCCTGACTCACTCTTCGTGGTGGGGGATGTAGAATACTCCTTGCTCCTCATTGCTATTTCCAGGCTCTTCTATCACTATCCCTCAGCATCCTCTCCTCCTTAGAAGTTCACACAGTTTATATTTATGTCCCAGTTACAATTCTAGTGTCTGTTGCTTTTAGACCTCCAAAACACTCCTCTTCCTTCCTCAATGACTTCAGGACCAGGCTCACAATCTCTCTTCCCCAACTCCTGCCTCACATTAGAGAACTTCAAAATACATATTGTTATTATCTCAAACACTCTAATCTCCAAATGTCTTGATTCACTCACTCCCTATAACCTACTTCCACACATAAAACTATACACAGAGATTGTTAAACCACACACAGAAATGGTTCTGCCCTGGATATTGCCATCATCAACACATGCTCTACTTCCATGTTTATGAATTTTGAAATTCCTTTATCTACTGTTGCTCCATTTCCCATTCTACCTCACAACTCCAAACTCTGTTTTTTGTGCTCACTGTGATGTCTAATCCCTCTAATCTTAAATTCTTTCCTAAATCATCACTTCTTTACTGGCAATATTTTCCTCTCTTCTCCATCTTGACCTCTTGATGGATGAGTTCAATTCTCTACTCTCCTCTTTTCTCTAGTTCTTTACCCTTTTATTCTTTCAAAGATCTTGCCCTGCCAAACTGTAGCCTTTGATTAATACCGCCATTTATTGCCTTTGCTTCTCATATGCTGCTAAAAAAAAAGCTATAAAAATATTGAAATTGTACTACCTAGTCTACTACAAATTTCTGTTATAGAAAATCTCAACTGGTCTCTCACTGCAACAAGGCAAGTCTTTTAAATCTTTCTGATCATTTCACTAGCCCCTTTTTTATCCCTCCTCAAACTTCCCATAACTCCACTTCTTCCCATCTTTGAAAACCTGGCCTCATATTTCATTGGAAAAAAGAAGCCTTCACAAAGAGATCCCTCTTGTCCCCCGTTCTTCATCTCACATCACTCAGATATCTTTTACACCT